CTACATATAGCATCCTCTATAGTATGTCAGGTAACTACATATAGCATCCTCTATAGTATGTCAGGTAACTACATATAGCATTCTTTATAGTATGTCAGGTAACCACTACATATAGCATCCTCTGTAGTATGTCAGGTAACTACATCATATAGCATCTTTTATAGTCTGTCAGGTAACTACATATAGCATCCTTTATAGTCTATCAAGTAACTACATCATATAGCATCCTTTATAGTATGTCGGGTAACTACATCATATAGCATCCTCTGTAGTCTGTCGGGTAACTACATCATATAACATCCTTTATAGTTACCTGACAGACTAATGCTATATGATGTAGTTACCTGACAGACTATAAAGGATGCTATATGATGGTTACCTGACATACTATAAAGGTAGTTACCTGACAGACTATAAAGGATGCTATATGATGTACCTTTGTATAGCATCCTCTATAGTCTGTCAGGTAACTACATCATATAGCATCCTCTAGTCTATCATGTAACTCCTTTTACATTATCCTCTCTCATGTAATCACATCCTCCAATATCCTCACTTACGTGCCGAGAATCTTGCTCTCATACACTTTATAGTGTTGTATTGTTGTTAACACATGCTTCATGCCAGTAATACAAGACTCGTGTTGTATTAAATAAATAATCAAACAAAATGTACAATTAATTACAGGAGTTCTAATAAAAAAGTGAATACATACAAGATACTGTAATATCTAACTCTGTTCTCTGTGAAGTTTTACAGTTCTGAGTTATCCCTACAGAAATATTTGACCAAATTGGGTTATGTTCCTATGGCTATATTTTCGAGTTGTAGATTCCAGTATCAAGAGACTCCTTGATGTGTATATGATTTTCAGACTCCCAGCTCTTCAGTAGTTGTTCAAAACCTTACTTTCTCACTTTTTTTTTTCTGTAATTAATTTCATGTGTGATAAAAGTGGATTCGGCGTAATAAAATTAATAGCTGCTTCATGTAATTATTTACATATTGTAAAAAACTAAATTATATAATCTGAATGTGTCATGAACGCACTTTTATTCCCTGAGAGTTGTTTTGAATAGTTTCATTTGTATTAAATATTGTAATAAAAATCAACTGAGCACGTCTGTAAGATTATGTTCAGTAATACTAATTTATTGCTTTACATCATTGGAATATCTATCTGTATTTATTTAGTCTAACAATTAGATATAAAGTTAAAAAATTTGAAACAATTTGCTAGAATTATTAGCAGTAAAATGTATTTTTCTTAAGTTATCTACTCCTTATTTCAGCACTTACATGAAGGTGCAAAGCTTCAAGCACAGCTTCAAGCATCTTTGTCACAATTAGATAAGGTTTGTATTCACTTTTGTTTTGTTTTGTGTGTGTGTGTATGCGTAAGTGTAGCCATATGAGAGAAGATGTAATTGGCTAAACACTATAACACTTATACTTTTACTGCATATTATTAATGTTTTCCTTTTACTTGCCATATGTAGCCATATGAGAGAAAATGTAATTGGCTAAACACTATAACACTTATACTTTTACTGCATATTATTAATGTTTTCCTTTTACTTGCCATATGAGAGAAAATGTAATTGGCTAAACACTATAACACTTGTACTTTTACTGCATGTTATTAATGTTTTCCTTTTACTTGCAGTATAATGTTTCTAATAAACTGTTAAGTATTACAGTTTTAAGTTGTTATGTTTTGTAAGTAAATCACAAATGTTTCTGTTTTATTGTAATATGTTTTTTATTTTACCATGAAATGTTTGTGGAAAGCTGGCAGCTTGCATGTGTATTAAACAATGACAAGTATTAGATTGTGAAATATAAAATATACATGTATAATTTTATAACTTGGACATTGTTGGTACATAATTATCAGTCAGTTCTTTCTTGTGATTGGGAAACAAGCCTCCTCAACCTTAAGCAGGCAGGCAGACAGACTTGCTTACATAAGTATCTTGGATAACTGCCATAAATTGGGAACAGATGGTAAAGCTTAAACTTGAAATAGTGAGGTTTTTTTGCCACTCCTAGTTTATTATTTATGTAGTGTTTAACTGTTCATGCTGTTAAGTTTTGTTCTACAGTAATCCTCTTATATTAAACTGATCAACCAACATAATTCCAGTAGAGCAGTTAAAAATCAAAGTATTGATGTTTATGAGACAACAGTCAAATTTTATAGAATTATTTTATTTTTTAATTAGGGTTTTAATAATATTTGATACTTTAGTTTTTGTTTTGTTAAAAAAAAGATAGATTGATGATATACATGCCGGAGAAATGGAAGTTATTTTTTGTCAGAAAGCATTGTTATTTTTAATCCAGTCAGAATAATTACGCTAATACTTTATTGTTAGTGTAAACATCACAAAGGTTCATGAAATTTAGCTGTGAATGAAGACAATATAAGACTCTGTACCTCATCATTTCCGGTACTAGTTATTCAAAATGTCTGTGTATGTGTGCGTTTTGTTGTGATTTCCAAGGATTACTGATGTGGTAAAGTAATTCCTGGAGAGGGGGGAATAATTAATTAGTGTATATATATGATAGACACACATATAATTAATTCAGTAGTTCCATAAATACTATAGAAGAATTATAAAATATTAATTTTATATTGATGCTTATTCCTTGAATTTTGTATTGCAGTAGTGTCTGTTTAAAAAAGAAACAACAACTTAAAATTAACATGTCACATACGGTTGGATTTCCACCACTACTGTTTTAGAAAGTAAGTGGCATTGTAATGTTGATTTTATATAGGCTTAGGATGACACATGTTAGGTTGAGTTTTCAAAATATGCACTTCATAATTCTACCTGTAGGAAGTCTCTAGTTTTCTTAAAAAGAATACAGTCACCTTTGATAAAATGTTAAGTTTGAACAGAATTGATAAACCAGCTTTAGTAAAGCCGAAAGAATGAAACCCCGTTGTTTGATTATCATTATTTTGATGTTTGTACTGCACTCATCATTTTGGTTTTAATCATTTGTTGTTTTTCATATCATCTTTCAAGTTATTATAATTCACTTCAGTTGCACAAAATAATTACTTGTGATTCTTGTTTTATTTAGTATGTTCATTAATTCTTAATTTATTTTGTTACGAGTCTGTGTTATGCTAATGTACTTTAAACAGGCAAAAAAAGCATACGAAAAAGCTTTTAAAGAAGCAGAGAAAGCGCAAGAAAATTTTGTAAAAGCTGATGCAGACCTGAACTTGTCCAGAGCAGAAGTAGAAAAGGTAATATTTTGTTCCAGAAAAGAAGTATTTCTAAAACTTTAAATATATAAAAAGCTGAATGTAATTGTACAGAACTTAAGCTAATTCTTAGAAATTGGGAGACCAGAATGAACATTTTTATCACATGTAAATTAGCCAACATTTACTTCTTATGCTTACTCAGAAGTAAATATTTATTTCTGTTAGTCTAGCAGAAACTTTTTATTAGTGTATAAATAAGTTACATGGTATTATAAATTTCCTTGTTATATTTAATGTGCAGTAACCTTTGTGTTAGAATATTAAAAAGAAAAGTAGCCTGATCATTTCTATTGTATATAATGACTAATGTTTATTTCTGTATATTATGTATATATATATATATATATAT